CCGTTTCACTTCTGCGTATTGTACGTAGTTAGTAGGCGAGGCGGTAATTTGCTATCATTTTGGAATCTTTTCATATCATTTCTCAATTCTTTCTGATGAGATGTCATTCTTAAGATTATATCTTGAGATAAATAAATTTTGATTTTAATTGAAGGGCACCACGTGACAATCTCGACGTGAAATTTCAAATCAAATCAATACATTAGTCAATGATAAATATCTCTTATCCAGGCTAATTTGAAGAAGGCGAATTACACAAATATAATATGAAGGCCCTTTGAAAAAGTACGATTAAAAAGAGGTTTAATTTAGATGTCATTTTTGAGCTTAATGCGCCCATAACGCTATCGTTCAACTACCTCTTTGCTGTGAAAAACCTTTGTCCAGATAGTTATGATATAATGTGCACAATCACGAGTTTGATAGGCTTTTGTAATTGAATTTTATGAACAGTTTTTGTTCAAATGTTAATACACGTTTACTCTTTTCCATTGTACTGAAACCAGTACCCACTTATCAGAACAATTACTGTATAAAATGACATTATATAAGATAATTACAAAAAAGTAAAATTTAGACAGATACCTGTCTTATTCAGGTTCATATTAATTAATCATATTTCAAAATTATTTCGTAAAGCTGCAATAGGAAACTTAAACAAAGTTTAATATGAATCCGTCTGTTTTATTTGTTCAGGCTACTTTAAACATCATTTGTGAAAATGTGATGTACTGTATTAATTGCCAAACATGATTAACAAACTGAATATAAATTGAATTGAGTACATGTATATATCTGCCACGACATTCTGATAAAATTCAACTGGTAAAACGGAAATAATCGAAAGACAACTGTCCGTGTCATCTAATTCCAACAGTTCATTCAACCACTTTACTTGCATCACAGTCAAAACGATTAAAAAATAAGTGATTCTGATTTTTTTTTAGTTTGAAAGTAAAATGATTCATCATTTGCTTTCAAAATAATGCATTAAAGGTTCACAGGTCAAATATGAGCATAATGATTCTCAAATTAATACAATTAACTTCGATTTTTTTATCACTGAGAAGGATGGAAATTATTTAGTGTAGCTAAACCCAAATGCAGCACATTATCGGTTTCTGACAGTTACTACATAGTTATTTCCCTTTTATGTAAATGAGACATTTGGCGGGTAAGCGAAAACTGAAAGTGTTCTTTTTTTATTCATTGTTTTGAAATAAATGTAATACATATTTTATATTTACTGTGTCTGTATCATAATATTGTGATGATTTTAATATGTACTGGATGTTCTTAATGAATTACATTAAAAAAAAAACTTTAGTTTTTTTTTTCTTTGATGAAATTGGACAGTGTTGGAATGGAGAATTGAGTTTTAATTAACACTGAGAATGGAAATGCTTGATAATGAATTATGAACAAAAGATTATTGTAGGAGTCCTACACACTTTTTAAGCTACTTATATACATTTTATTGCTATACAGCATAACTTTAAATTGCATAGAAAAAAAGCTTTGTATACTAAGGAAAGTCCATTACTTTGGATTAATTGATTATCTTAACTGTGAAAGGAGTTAGAATTTATGTTTTCAATCCACTTTTAAGCTATGGCAACATAAGTGGTATTGCTTTTTGTACTTTTTTTAATTAACCACTTAAGAGAAAGATTGTGTTGTTTTCAAAATGCTTACAAATTTTGTAGATCCATTGTTTTCTTTTCTCATGATAATATTTTCTTTTATATCTCATTTTTTCTTCTTTTTTTTTGGACATTTTTTAAGATTGGATCAGATATCCTCGTAATTTGATGCTTTGTATTAACAGTAAATATTGAATTGGATCTAATTGTGTGTCATATGGTTTGAGAAATCAATACCATATCTATTCAATACTTTTTTTTCTTCCATTGAAGATTTATATAAAATTACTTGTATTTGAATTTAGTTTCATCATCTGTTAATTTTGTTTGTATCTGTAACCATGTTGCTAAAAAGACTTTCATCTTAAAGGCCCAACTGGACTATGGAAGCCAGCGGATCGCACTAGGGCAGGCTTCTAACTAATAATGGAATTGTTTATTGATATTTATGTAAGGGACATTAAAGAATGGCTTCCCCAAAGAAAATTTCTTTAAAATCATGCAGTTTTCTCCCAAAATTGAATTTCTATCAACTTTTTTCTTTCCCTTTTGCAAATATACTGTATTATTTAATCCCCCCCCCCCTTCCCCCCCAAAAAAACCCCAAAAAACAAACAACAACAACAAAATTAAGGGCATGGCTGCATCCTCAAGCCCTTGAGTTGCTTAAATTCTTACTTGACAGTAGATATTATCAAGAAAAAAAAATGCAACAACCTGTGAGTCAATACATTACAGTTACATAACACGATTATCAGCATAATTTCGTAAAAATTAATGTGTAATTAAAATCGTCCACAGAAAAAAAGCCATTTCCTGCTGTATGTTGCACTTGTCAATTGCTCTAAGGGAAATCTATGAATTATGTATGCAAACACCTAATGCTGTATTTGTCAAGCAGATATCCAGATAATGCCAGGCCTGCTTGTCTTAGATAACATCACATTATTCCTTCATTTAATAGTCCACTGTAGACTGAAATTTGCATATTTTCGATATTTTATAAATATGAAGAAACAGGATTTTCAATCTCCGAGATCTAAGTCTCATATAACAAATTCTGATTTATTTCGCTTCAGAGATAGGCTCTGAATAAGTCCATTTATCTATAAATCTGAAAGCATAATGAAACTGGCGACTGGATTTTAACGATTATCCTTTGTCACATGCCGTCATTTGTGATAATGATAAGAGATTGCTTTTTGGACAAGGTCATGTGATGCAATTAATCTTTTTCACTATCTGTTTTCAATAACAAAACAAAACAAAACAAAAGTGGCCGAGTAATCGAGTCCTGTCGAGTCATGTCGCAGCTTTGAGAAGAAAAAAAAAACATGATACATAAGGCCCAATAATTTTTTTTCTTTATCAGATAACTAACATACTGATTGTAGTTTTATGTTTTTAATATATTTCATTGTCGTCACTTTCAGCAGAATAAGAAAGGGAAATGTTTTAAATCTTGATTGAGAAAAAAATATTGCAGTCTAAAATATAGGTCCAGGGTTCCTGAAATTGAAAATGTCATAATAAATGATTAATTTGGTAGGTGAATTAATTTCGTCAAGGTTTAATTTAAGGCTCTTAGGTGAAACAAAGTATACAACTTGTGACATAAGTTGGTACACCTAGAGACTAAGATAGACCTAAAAAAGTAGGAACTTGGGAATGGTACTGAATATTGAGGTGCTTATTTCCATTCGTGTATAGGTTTTGCATATTATTTGTCCGACCTTGGAATATCTTTAAATATTAGTTTCCACGTTCACATGGGGTAAATGTTGAGTGCAGCTAATGTCCTAACTGTCAGGTAAATGTTGAGACTTTTTAGGGTTAACAATTTTGAGACCTAGACTGCTTAAAGCAATTTACCAAAGGTTAAAGTTGATGCCATTACATTATACTTTGATAACAAATTTTTTTTTAATCTCTTTACTACTTAGTACTAGAAAGCAGGACTCAGTATTCATGAAGGATAAGGTCATTTACAGAAAATTAACAGTGAAAAAAAAAAGTTAAACGTAATCTAAAATGCTTAATGTGTCAAAAGTTAAATAATGCTTGAAATATCAGATGCGTCAATGATTTCTAAGCAATAACACTTACATGCCAATGTTTACATAGAGTTTAAGTAATTTGTCACTTAAATATTTAAGTGAAGGAGGTACTTGACTAGGGAAAGCTGTGGAAACCTGCCATTTCCTTCATAAACCGCCTGAAAATACATGTCAGATTATTATCTCCCTTTACGATAAGTATTCGCTGCCTTTAAAGCCCTCCAGTTTTGCAGGATTTCAAAACCTCTGGTTTGATTTCAATCATAGATACTGAATGTTTCATCATAGGATTTTATGTAGATGGCTGCATGGATAATTTGTACGATAAATGAAGATAAGCGAAAGACGCTCAAAATGATTTAAAGACTTACTTGTCATTTCTAATTTGACAGCATAGGAATTAGTTATATAGCGTATACAGATTTTTTTTGATTTTGATTTTACGCCAGTTTTTATGAACCGTTTCGACTAAATTATAACTGTATTATTGTAAAATAAACTTTGTTTCAACAATTTTTCTTTTACCGTTAGTTTAGTAAAGAATTAAAGATGCCAGCTTAAGGGTTTATCCAATTAATAGAATCAGATTAAAACAAATTTTTAACTAGCTCTACTCAGTGGTAATCATAAGCTTTGGCAGTTTTGAATGCAATGAATAAAAAAAAGAAGATTTTTATCTGACTTGAGGTCTGGAAAAAACTGTAAACACAAGAAGTGTCAACTTCAGAGGTCTCTTTACAGATATAGCTCATTCCTTGAGAGTTTTCAAGTGTAATGAAAACTAGTTGATAAAATTAAGATTGGCCAAAATGTCAAAACATTTTATGATAGGGGGGGGGGGGAGTATTATAAAAAGGGGGTATTTTCAGAATGAAGTGTTTATATTTCTGTAGTTATTTATCAGTACTGGATGTGGTTTTATTTATGTAGTGTGTATTATTGTGTTTACAGTTATTTAGGTACTTAAGTCATATACTAGTTTTTAATTATAGTGAAAAAAAATGTGTACTTACTATTGATTATTGAAAAAAAAAACAAATCAGGAATAGTATATAGTATTTTGCCTAAGGTTCAGTGATATTTTTAGCGTTTTGTAGTGTAAATTTAAAACTGTTCAAACTTCTTAATTGTAAACATCCAGTTATTGGAATTTATTCATTTTCATTATTTATTGGAGGGGAAAGCAAGTAAAATATGTGTTATTTGAGATTGTGTAGCTTTATTTATTTGTTATAGACTAAATGCACAGGTCAGATTTAAAAATGATAAACTTTCATTTTTATTTTTAAACTATTTTCAGGGCCAGAAGATGAAGATGATGACAGTGAGGCTGCATCAAAAGTAGACCAATCAGAAGACTTGAAAGAAATGGAGGGTAACCAATCAGAAAGTTCCTTGCACAGCGATTCAGAAAATGAACAAATGGACATAGAGAGTGATGAAATCAAAAGGGAAGTAACTTCGCCAGTTCAAATCAAAAGGGAGGTAACTGATGATATTGAAAATAACTATCAGGTAACTGAAAATAAACCTAAATATGGAGAAATGTCCCCAAGGCGGCAGGAAGTGATGAAAAGACTTAACTTTCCTGCAGATTTGTTGACACTAAGACAGGTTGATGAATCAGAGTTTTTACAAACTGGAATTCCATGGTCAGTGATTTCTGTGGCGTCATTACCTAAAGGGAGCACTGTCGGACCTTATCAAGGGGAGACAGTGGCCCTAAGTTCCATCAAACCAGGGGAGCTTGTACTACAGGTAAACATTTCTATTAAATTATTTTCATGATAACTATTATTTGTTGCCTCATTGAGTGAATTCTGAGAATGCCAATGGCTCTAATGACTTCCCTTTGCAAGCAGTATACTGCTCTCTGAACTTACTTAGTGCAAATGACTGTTCAATTATAGTATTTTGATATTGATATCCCTTAAACTAATAGTGGACTTATCCAAATTTAAAATCAGGGAGAGTTCATTATACAAAATTCAGCAGGGGGTAAGGGTTGATATTGTACATGTATCTAAATATTGATAAAAAAAGAAAACACAGCAGTGTTGCTAAGATGAAAACAATATTTATTAGCTGGTGTAAATTAAAAAAGAAACGATTTGCTGCAGATTTATTAAAAGCTATAAACATAAAGAAAAGGTTGCACTGCGTACAGTATAATTTCCCTAGAGTATTACCTTAGTGAATTATTGAGGCAAGATATTACTGACTAGACGTGTTTTAATTTATGTGTAACATGTACATTTGTATTTTCATTATTCTGCGCTTTATGGTATTTCAAAATTATAAACATTTTGAAAATCATTTCTAAATACGTAATTGGTGTATTCAGTGCTCTTTAAAGTCATCTTAAAAAAGAGTATTTATTTTTTATTTTTAAAGATTTAAATGCTAGTGAAGAAAATTAATTTTCAGAACAGAACAGAACAAACATTTTATTTGGCACAAACATATATACATGTTCATCCCCAATACGTTGTAACAATGTATGGCGGTAAAGAGTAACATAATTATGAGAAAAGTATTACATAATTTATCACACAAACATATTAACATTTCAGAAACAAACAAAAACAAAATAAAACACTTAAGTATTTGACACATGATAATACTATGTATTATTCAGTATATGAATTATTTTTGATAAGTTTTTTTTTAGGTCCATACATTTCTATTTTATTAGGGTATGCCCTATTGGTTTAATGAATTATTTTCATGTATAATTTGATGTCTAGGATCTTTTGAAGGCTTACTAAATTGCTATTACTGCTTGTTCATTTATACCTTTTCAAATTTTTAAATAATATTAGATTTCTTAATGTTGATTTTTTAGCTCGACTATACGAAGTATATGGAGAGCTGTCCTACTCGCCCCGGCGTCGGCGTCGGCGTCCGCGTCCGCGTCCGCGTCCAGATTTTAGATTAAAGTTTTGGTGCAGTAAAATATTTTTCACTATAACTTTGTCATTTCTTAAGGTATCAACTTCAAACTTCAAATATATGCTCCTTATCATCAACCACATCTTATGTGACAAGGTTCATAACTCTAGCACCAATATTTTCAGATTTATCTCCCCTTGAACTTAGAATTTTCCTTAAAAAATATTATTTTTTACTGATACTTCTTTATTTCTTAAGGGATCAACCTCATACTTCAAATATATGTACCTTATCATCATTCCCATCTTATGTGACAAGGTTCATAACTCCAGCACCAATATTTTCAGATTTATCTCCCCTTGAACTTAGAATTTTCATCAAAAAATACTATTTCTTACTGTTTCTTCTTTATTTCTTAAGGGATCAACCTCATACTTCAAATATATTTACGTTATCATCATCCCCATCTTATATGACAAGGTTCATAACTCTAGCACCAATATTTTCAGATTTATCTCCCTTTGAACTTAGAATTTTCCATACAAAATATTATTTTTTACTGTAACTTATTTATTTCTAAAGGGATCAACTTCATACTTCAAATATATTTACGTTATTATCATCCACATCTTATGTGACAAGGTTCATAACTCTAGCACCAATATTGCAAGAATTATCTCCCCATAAACTTAGATTTATTTTCTAGAAAAATGTTATTTTTATTTTAACTTTTTTTTATTTTAAAAGGTATCTACCTCAAACTTCAAATACTTATTCCTTATCATCAATTACATTTTATGTGACAACGTTCATAACTCTTGAAGCAATATTTACAGATTTATCTCTCTTTGAACTTAGGATTTTCTTTAAGAAATATAATAACTTCTTTATTTTTTAAGGTATCTACTTCAAACTTCAAATATATATTTCTTATCATTACACAAATGTTGTGTTGCAAGGTCCATAACTCTAGCATGACTATTTCTAGAATTATTCCCCTTGATCTTGGAATTTATGTTAACAAATGTTATTTTTTTACTATAACTTAATACATAATTATACATAATTGATTTTTCTTTCATAGTTTTGTCCTCCTCTAAATTAATAAATAAATAAATAAATATAATAAACAAATAAATAAATCAATCAATCAATAAAATTATAGTTTATAAATAAATGAAATAATGTATCAATTATTAATCAATTGGTAAAAATTAATTTGTATGTGCGTATTTCTGTTAAGTCTCTCCATGTATGTGTATTACTGTGTATTTCATTAAGTATGTCCATACATTATTATACTCAATAAAACACCCTTATGACATTACCTTAGCCAATACTGTATAATTAGACTCTCTCTAAGGCTGTAACATGAATTTATAAAAAAAAATATAGCCCTTTTGTGAACTTAACATTTAATGTTAAGTTCACAAAAGGGCTATTTTTTTTTTATAAATTCATGTTATAGCCTTAGAGAGAGTCTAATTAATCAAGGCTCTTTAACTATCAAGCACTTAGAATAGTCGAGCGTGCTGTCCTACCGACAGCTCTTGTTCTATCAGCCAGTCAGACTCCACCTTGTTTGTCTACAAACAATCATCCCCTTTAAAGATTTTCTTAAAACTTGGCCAATGGGGCTTCTGTGCTTGTTGAAAATTAAAGCATTCTTGAAGCCAAATTCAATTTCCGCTCTATAAATGCTATACCCCTTCAAGGATTTTCATTTTATGTGGTTTAAAAAATCATCACAACAAAACAAAGTGCAGAACTCGCACCTCCGAGGTAAAGGCTACCATAGAAAATCAAAATTCAGTACTTGTTGTGTCTTTACGCTTTTAAACTTAGATAAAATGTTTTAATGTCACTTTAGGAACTAAATATTCTTATACTGACTCTTCAAGGTCAAATGTCTTAAATTTTGTGACCGCTCTATAAATCTAGTAACACAAGAAAGCATTTGCTTTTAATTTGGCTGAAAAGTTTCCCTCAAAAAGGCAATGATTGTGCAGAACCAGTATGCCACAGGTTCTCTGGTTCAAGGTCAAGGTCACCCACGCCTTACAATGTTGTGTCCTTGGCTTTCTCTAAAATATTATACATATACCCCTTGAATGATTCGCTTTAAATGTGGCTATATTGTTCACCTCAACAAATCAATATGCAGAACCCATGCCTATGATTTGCTTGCTCAAGTTTAAGGTCACCTTTGAAAGTCAAATGTCCTAAAATTAAGTGCTGCTCTATAAATCCCTTCCCTCCTGAAGGATTTAACTGAAACTGTAACTGTACACCTCAACAAGGCAATAAGCAGAATCCATACTTCTTTTGTGCCATCTCAAGGTCAAAGTCATCCTTGAAGGTAAAATTTCAGATAATTTTGGGTCTGCCCTATAAACCCTTTATCTCTTGGGAGATTTTTCTTCAATTATCTAAATGTTTACCTCAACAAGGTAATGCATAGAACCTTTTTGTGTTGCCTTGAAAAGGCGACATATAGGGGTTACATTTGTCGGCGTCGTTGTCGGCGTCCCCTAAAGCTTGTCTTGAGCATAACTCAGTTACAATAAGTCAGATTGACTGCATGCTAATCTTTCAATAACTTGAAGTGCAATGCACAAGGACTGGTACTCTGCACTTCTTAATTTTTAGCTCGACTTTTCTATGAAAAGGGGAGCTATCCTACTCGCCCCGGCGTCGGCGTCGGCGTTGGCGTCACACCTTGGTTAAGTTTTTCGTACCACCCCACTTTATTTCAGAAGTATTACAAGTATGGCTTTGAAACTTACCATACTTGTTCACCATCATAACCTCCATCTACAGACAAGAGTACATAACTCTGTCAAGGTTTTTGACAGAATTATGGCCCTTTTTTGACTTAGAAAGTGTATTGAGCTTGGTTAAGTTTTTCGTACCACCTCACTTTATTTCAAAACCATTGGAGGTATTGCTTTGAAACTGACCATACTTGTTTACCATCACGACCTTCATCAACAGACAAGAGGACATAACTCTGTCAAGGTTTTTGACAGAATTATGCCCCTTTTTGACTTAGAAAATACATTGAATATGGGTAAAATCCACTTATTGCCTTAACCCTTTGAGATATTGCTTTGAAACTTTTAATGCTATTTCACATCATTACCCCCATCTGTACGCAAGAGAAGGTAACTCTGTCAAGGATTTGTTTTAAAAATTAAGGCCTTTTATCGACTTAGAATCTTGGTTAAGTTTTTAGTACCAGTCCACTTTTTGACTGAACTGTTTGAGATATTAATTTGAAAAGTTGGAATACTTTTTACAATCATGATTCCCAAACATGTCCAGGAGAAGGTAATTCTGTCAAAGATTTTATTTGAATTATGGCCCTTAACTGTCAATGTTTTGTATTATAGGCAAGCACTAAAAAACTTAAAAAATCTAAAAAAATTCATTCCTATCCACTTGTTCACTTTACCATAAATTATGTCATATAAACATTGCTGTAAGGGTATCACACAATTCAGTAAAATAATTCTTCACTAAATATCTTAATGCTCATGGCCATTGTTCACTTTAAAAATACAGAGATTCTTGTATTGCCTTTTACTGCAAAAACTTTTTTTATTGGCAAGCAATAAAAAAGTCGAGCGCGCTGTCTTACGGACAGCTCTTGTTTAATAACTATTTAAAAGATAGATACAAATTTCACAAAATTACGATATGAATTGTTCTGTCAGATAAAAGTCCCATTCTTATGGTTACAATAATGTTTTACCGTTATAATCCATGGAAGTTCTTCGACAGACTGGGTTTATTTTTTTGAAATCTTAACAAAAGGAGACTGGTTCATTAATTTTTATGTGTCTGTAAGGAGGTAGACTGTGCCT